ATGTAGGTGAAGGATGTGGTTCACAGGCCTCTGTATTGTTTTTGGTGTCCTTTTTATTTTATTACTGTGTTTCAAAACATGACCTATGGTTTCCCTGCAATTATAAAAAAATATGTCATTTCTACCAATCTTTAAAGAGTTTTAATAAAACTGAGTTTATGCATTCATTTTATAGAGATAACGAAGAAAAAAATCAAATTTATTCTTGGATATTTTTTAAATTGTCATCAATTTTGAATTATCTAATTCTAGGCTTACACAAAATAAGGCAATTCTTAGCTGCAATAATGTAGCACTTACCGTTTTTTTTTCTTTTGTTGTTCTTTTTTGTTTTGTTTTGGGGGAGGGCTACAACTCCTCAGGATCTCTGTAATGGTGCAACGCGGCAGTGAGTAACTCCCGCACGCATTTCGGCTCAAATCATCAGTAATAAATGTAATAAATAATCTTATTAACATCTTTTACCTGGACTCCAAAAAAGCAATTATGCAAGACATAAATCGATCCAAAAATATTCACAATGACCCATGTATCGGTTATTTTTCGTTTATGTCAACATCACAACTTGAACTTATCCGCCATGTTTACTGACCTTCATAGATTTTATTTTGGGACAGCCAATGAGAATTTAGAATCTGTAGTAGCGGATCTTTAAGGAATTTCCTTATTTTAAGCATACATACGATGTTTGCGTAAAAATAACACTTGAAATGGTTTTATTTATCGATGTTTTTGTGAAACATTTCAGCACAGTCGTTTATATACATAGACATTTGCTTTATTAAATGTAAGTTGTTCTAAATTTCAAGTGAAAGTCTCAGTACGTCACGCAAGAACTGTCATGGCTGCTGCTGATAAACACGCAGATATATTTTGCATGGTTTTCGAGTTTATCGGGCTATGGTGTTGACAGTGAATAAAAATTCCGTCTTATAAAAAGTAAGTTTAATGTAAAATAAATTTATTTTGCCTTCAATCGCCTGTATTAAAAAAAAAAATATATATATATATATATATATATATATATATATATATATATATATATATATATATATATATATATATATATATATATATATATATATATGCACCATTACGGAGATACGGTGGAATTGTAGCCCTCGGAGAGGGCTACAAAATTGCAGATAGGCAATTTTGTGCATTAAAATCCTCTTACTTTTGTTATGCAAAGATTCAACTATTTCTCTGTACATGTAAATAAAAGCGGTTCTCTATAAAACTTTTCTTCTTGCTTGCTTTCAATGAAAGACTTTTCTCGATGTATATTTCTTCGTATGTTTCAAATACATGTATATATTTTGAATCTAATCATCATACCTTTTAAAGAGTGCAATTGTACATTATTCCAAATTTACATGTATGTAAAATTGTCTTTCCTATCGAAGTATCAAAATATATACAAAAATACACGTTTGAAATTTAGACCTTTTTATTCTGGTGGATGTAAGTAGAGTCGCTAATTCTTACGAGGAGTATTTGCAGCTTGAAGGCACTGCTTAGATAAAAGCTTTGCCCCAGATATTTATATATACATAATGCATAACATTTTGGACTGACGTTTGTTTCCAGAGTGTATGGCAAGCAAATTATTTTCTTATTTGTTCTGAATAGATATTAAACAATTAATCGCAATTTTAAATTATCGTATTAAACACATAAGTCTGGATTTCTTTTATGGTAGAATACTACCATCGGGTGAGGGTGGGGGTGATACTTAAGCATTTCTAAATTAATTTTAGAATAGAGAACGAAAAACAGTATATGAATCATTTAATGTTTAAAAAATGGCTGATTAAAATTGATGTCAGGTCTGATTTATAATTCGTACAAATTATTAATCCAACATAATAAAAAGTAAGTATAATAGTCCTAATTTCATATATGTTACAGTGAAATATACACTATTTACAAGTGTATTTATTCTTTAAACAGCTACTTCTAAGTGTTCGCCTAAAATTGAAGAATTAATTTCCGTAGCGTTGTATATCAAATATAACGATTGCTGAGTGAAGATTTTATCTTTAGCAATAACAGACTGAGTCTCAGTGTAGCTAAGTTTCAAATTGCAGGTATTTACATGAACAGTCATGTACATGTATGCCGTTGTTGTTTTCCTTGAAATCTTTCTTTATTCTTCTGCCTAGGGTGAGAAAGCTTATTTACTTCCAATATATTTTTTTCTTTTTTTGACTAAGAAAAAACGTTGTTTATGTATGTTAATTAATTTATTATGTTCCCCAAAAGAAGTTGAGGAACATATTGTTTTTACTCTGTTTCTTATTATTAGTTTTCTTCTTCCTGGGTACTTATTTGTCTGCGAATGATTTTGTAAACTGTTCATCTGTTGTAGGTAAAACCTTTTAAGGCTAAGTAGACATGTTATGTAGATCAAGGTCATTTTGCGCGCACGTGCTTTCAAGAGCGCGCACGTGCACCGTAAAATGACCAATATAATTGATATAGCCGTAACTTTTTTATTTTTTGATAAAATGTGTTGAAATTCAGAATATAAAAATAAATATAAGAATAAATTAGTATTATAGACAAGAGGACATGGTCAAGTTATCATGAACTCACGCGCATGCACATGCGCTTCACTCTGATTGGCTGAAACAAAAATCTCAATATCTTTTTTTTGTTTTTTAAATAAATACTTTGAAATTTAAAACATACTCTTGCATTAAGATATCCTACGATACGATATGAAATAATTTTCATAAAATAACGCGCATGCAAGTGCGCTGCAATCTGATTGGCTAAAACTTGAAATGGCTATAACTCCCTTAGTTTTCAGCCAAAGAGGATGGGATTTAGAACATAGATTCTCTTAATGGATCCCTACAAGAAGGTATGGTCATCATACACATGCATGCACGCGCATGCACGTTCAATACGTATAATTACAAATTCACTTGATTTAGTGTATTTTCGAATACTTTTTTTGATTAAATGTCTTGATATCAAGTACATTAAAATAAATTATAGTGAAGATACAATGATATGGTCATTCCAAATATGCATGCAAGTGTACGCACGTGCAATGCAACAATTTGCTATATACTTGGTATACTTTAGGAAAACATTGTTTAAGTTTAAGATGCATGGAGTTTAGTTTATTTGATGAAGCTAAGAGGGAATGAGACACCAAAATGAAGTTGGGAAGCGTTTGGGGAACATCTGTAACGGTTCCTGTTACAATTAGCACTAGTTTTAAGTGTTTTTACATGGTTATCAAAACACTGAAAACAGTCTTCTTTGACGCATTAAGGTTTTAAAGTGCTTTCACGGGAGTAAATAAAAGAAATGGTGTTTCATTCTAAAGCAAAATTGTTATTTACATGAATAAGTCACCTTCTTCAGATTAATTTGCATAAATGTACGTATGTGGGATATTTTTCTGTTTTCAGAGAATAAAGACTTCGTGCACAAATTTGTCCAATTTCATTTTTAAATTAAGCATTATATTAACTTTCATTTTTATACCCCAACCCGATTAAAAAGCGGGAAGGTATCTGCATATTATAATTGGGATGTCTGTCCATCTGTTACGCTTTGGGGTGCCTGTCTCTTATCCGCACTCCTCCTCTACCACTGAATGAAATTAAATGCGACTTACACATTATCTTTGTTATATAGATCCATTATGATCCTCCTATTTTACTTTTTGATTCTATATTGAAAACCCTGAACTGTACGAGGCCTCAACCAACAAGGGGTTCAAGAATAGAAACATACCCTACTTAAACTGCATGTACTTCCCTATCTATAGAGTTTCAGCAAAAACTACCCGATTTAATAGTTTCCAAAAAAAATATGCTATGTTGTATTTTAGAAAGGAAGTTTATAAACATGTAAACAAGCAAGGGCAGAGGGACACTATTTGCATATGTTCCGGTGGTCTTAAAATGAATTATAGATTACTCAGAAACCCGTATTAATTTCTATGTTTTGAAGGTTTGGGTGAAAAAAGGCATAGATCATAAAAATGTTTTTTTTTTAAATAAAGGCAATCCTATTACAACCCATAAATCATTTTGAAAGATATTTCAATGTGATGAAACAAAACAAATGTAATAGTAAACATTTCCCGTGCAGATAAGGCCCCGCCTCCTTACTTTAACCTTAACTGTGCTGCGTATACCTTATGTGTTACTTACTTTAAAAAATTCAAATTTAACGATAAATTTTGAATGACAAAATTAATGCTAGGGGGTTCATATTTGATACAATATGCCATAAATAATAATTATAGTGAATTATAAATTTCGACTGGCTTCTGACAATCTTGCTCTCCTTACCAATGTGCTCAAGATATGAATGTTAATAAATAATTGGATAATTTGATCAGATTTAAACAATAATGCTTCACACAAACTAACAAATAACTTCTAAACGGACACTTTCTCCCGATCTCTTGTGTGTAACACATTTTTAAAATATTTTTAGTACATAACACTTTTTTTTTATTTTTAAGGAAACTACGTTTTGTGAAAAAAAGTTCAATTAAAGAAACAAATATTTATATAGAAAATTCTCGTCTTACAATTAATTCCAATGTCCTGGGGAAAATAAATAGGTTCACAAAGAAATAATTGAGAGCTGATGTGCTAATAAGAAAACACTTTTTTTCAGTTCGAATTGCTTTATAAATGAATTAATTAAATAAGGAAATTTAAATAAATATTATTAGATGAATAAATGTTTTTCAAGCAATGAAACAGGAATGAAACTTACACCAATGCTCACTAGCAAAATTTAAAAATAAATAATATAAAGGAAGTTTTCATTATTGACATTTAACTCATGAAATCTTCTTTTATTCTGCTGGCAGAAATTTCTGAATAGATTTATTCATTTATTAGCAAACAGATGTAGTTTATGACGATTTGATCTCTCTCCAGGCGTTAGTCCCTACTATAATAAAACTTTAAATCCTTTTATACTTGCAGTATTCTACTAGGATATTCTAATGTATAGTCATGTATGCACTTATTTTATTGATTGGAATGCTTAAGTTCTCTTGTGCATACGGTAAGTAATCCTTTTCCGATTATACCAAACTCTTATTATACAACGTTTATGGATTGCTTCTTCCTTTTTGTCGCATTTAGCAAAATTTTGAATTTTTTTTATCTGTAAACCTTTTATTATTTTCTAAGAGGTAGGATGGTTGAAAATTTTAAAGAAAGAGTAGGAGAAAAGTTATTTTTATGAATTTATCTGTGTATTTTAAAGACACGGAATATATATCCTATGTGTTTGTTAGACTACTAACTATACTTATCGACATTTGCAAAGTCTGACAATTTCTCGTTTGAAATAAACATCTTATCAAAATTAGTGTAGTGATTGCTATTATGCAGTATTTGAGAGTAATAGATGTTTTCACTTATTTGTTATAGCTACATGTACAGCAACTCTTCTAATTGACAGCTTTTAAACTTATCGTTGGATTGACACATTGATTTTTTCACATATTTTGTACTAAAAATTTCTTACTTCCAATTGAAAACGATTTAATTTGAAGACACGATCATAGTTTTGAACTTTTCCTTCTCCATTCTGTTATTTCTGAAAACGAAAGTTAAACACATGAATTCAAGACATGTCATCACAATATTTTTTTGTATACGTAGACTTTTTTTCTTTAGAAAATCTGGCATTTCGGAAACCCACTTGGCAGAGTTCAACACATTCCATCGATATATCCGGTCCCGAGAAAGCTCTTGACGGTTTGAAGTCAGATTTGTCCTATAATGGACAACAGTGTAGTGTTTCAACTGATGAGGAAACCAATGCAACCTGGTGGGTTAACCTTACTGATATTGTCAGGATACACAATATAATGATCTACTACAGAACGGAAAATGGACCCTGGGGTAAGTACTTACAGGTAACTCTCGATACCTCGAAGTCCGCGGGACCGAGAAAAAACTTCGAGAGATCAAGAGTTCGAGATTTCAAGAGTCCGGAATTCTCCGGTTTTGTTAACCGGTTTTAAAATTAGTCTTACCGGATGTAATAATTTTCATGCAGTCCTAGCCATTTACACGATGTGTTTATTAAACAACGGTATGTTTTCGTATTTTAGATGAATATTTATTAAATTGAGTATATAAAAAAATGTACATCGTCACTTCATGTTTATTTACTCTTTTTAATACGAACTTCAAACTACGTTATATGAAAACGACATTTTAATACCGCGTCGTAGGCCTACATAGCATTGACTACATTAAACGTTTAAACGAAGTTCTGTAAGTATTTGTGCAAAAATAGTCGTAATATTGACATTAAGTCTGTTTCTGAAGTTTCATATTTCGGTAAACATTGACACTGACTCGAAATAAAAATTAAACTATTTGGTTTTTCGTCTTGCATTCAATTTACTCTTTTGCACTGTCACTGAGTCTCAAAATTATCGTAAGACAGTCGATGATAATTATTTTAATAGCGTAAAGGCAACATATGATTAATTATAATTCAATTATCACCTAGAAGTATAAGTGTCACCTGAATAAACATCCCGTTTCTCGGGACCCGCGTCTTCTGCCTGAGGCCATTTAAATGTCCTGGTGAAGTCGCTAATAATGCAACATTGCATACGCATAGCCACTTCGAGGTTTCAAGGGTAAATTCCAATAGAATATGCAAAGCAGGACTGCATTTTTACTTCGAGGGTTCAAGGGTTTCGAGAGATCAAGAGTTCGAGATATCAAGAGTAAATTTGCTTAGTTGTATAGGGAAAAGAAATCGGGACCTTAGACTCACTTCAAGCGATGAAGAACTTCGAGAGATCGAAGTTCGAGCCATCAAGAGTTACCTGTATTTATATTTGTTGTGTAAACAATATAATGGCATTGTTTAAATGATAAGATAATAAATGGTTGAACTTTTTTTATTTGAAAAAAAAACTAAATAATAAAGTCGAATCTAGAATTTATACATATGTCCTATTAAATACTTTAGAGATACTTTCTTTGCAATATAAGACTTTGATTTCTGCAATTTTAGGTCAATCAAATCCATTCACAAGTAGATTTATGGGATTTTACTTATATATATCGAACACAACAAACATGGAAGATGGCTTTTTGTGTTTCCACGACACAATCTACACCACTGCCACAATACCAGCTGTTGCCAACATAAGCTGTCCTATACATGGGCAATACGTCATCTACTATAACGAAAGACCCGCAAAAAACAGTTACACAACCGGACATTCTGTATATGCTTATACAGAGCTCTGTGAGGTCGAAGTATACGGTCAGTAATTGCATTTCCTACTACAATATTTAAATCAGCTACATTTTACTAAGCCAACAGTGAAATTAATCTAAAATCCATTTTCGTGTTTAGTCTTCTTTAGACATATACATAGAGAAGCGTGTGTTAACGTGACGTCACAATGAGACTACAAAGACGTTTGAAAAATGAACAAAATTGGCCAGCGAGAAATTCAAATATATTGTGTATATTTTTATGCCTTAAGACAAGGATAATGTAAACATTCCAAAAAATGCTTTTAAGTTTGGAGTGAATTACTGGTGTGTGAATCACACAGACTTGCACTAAGACATATTAAAGCAATATGAGCTGCATGTATGACATTGGAAAATTTTATTGCAAATTTGTAATTAACTAATTTAATGACAGAAATATAAATCATTTATAAACTTTTGTTGTTCATATTTGTGTTGGAAAATTTTTATTTAGGTTAAATTGAAGCAAAATTGAATTATTGTCGTCCTGTACAATAATGATTTCTTATATAAAACTGTATATTCGGTTGTACAGAAATATTTCTTCTGAAATATTTTTTTAACTTTATTTTGGGCTTATTGGTCATAAAGGTTTTAATTGCATACACATTAATCAGAATAGTACATTTTCCCAGCAAAATAAAATTCTCAAAGGTACAGCTCATATTGCTTTAATCTTGAAGCGCTAGCTTCATGAATAATGCCTACGTGACAACTATGTGTGATTCACACACCAATAACACACAAAACTTAAACACATTTGTTAAATGAATCACTGTTGGTAAACATTTCTTATTGCGTACGTATAAATCCTTTTTTTTTATCATAATATCAAAAATAGTTCTAAATCCCACACAGCAGGTTCTAAAAAATCATTGATCGCAACGAAGAAGTCAACATGGCTATGGTAAAAACGACGATTTGTATGAGGTGTGAGAGGTAGTTCAAGTGTTTTTTTTTTACAGAGAGTGTTATTGTGATGATCAGAGATAACTCTTGTTTGAATTTGGAACTCTCTAGTAGAGTGAAGATCAGTTTTATGGTTAGCCAATCAGAATTAAGTATGCTAATTAAGTAGGGTATAAAAGTACTGTCTTCTCAGTGGAGTAACACATTCTGTCGGCATTCGCAGTTAGTCAGTACAAGAGTCAGAAGCTGCTGAGGAAAACTTAAGGATAAGGTGAGACAGGGATTAGACGTGGCTGAACAAGTCTTTCCTTCCCTATCATACAATTAGTTAAGCTTTAAATACTAGTAAATAAAGTAAAACTTAGTTAATTATAAATAAGTAAGCCAGCAGTGAGACATAGTTGAGACACATAGAGCTAGATTAAGATTTTCATTATTACCCTGTCCCATAGTTTATTTTTGTTGTATATAATTCTCTTTGTTAGGTTCTCAGAAGTTATCTGAGCGTTCCCACGAATCACTTTTGAGCAAGTAGCTCAGTCTAAATTGAGAGTTAATATTTTTGTATATATTTTTGATTTTTTTGCATTAATTTTGTAACATCAGCTCGGTTACACGTCACATTATCATTCAAAAGAGTATTACAGGTTTTTGTTAGGCTATTAACACCAGTGTTTAATGAAATTCATCAATTATAATCGAGAAAATGTATTTATCCAATTTCACAGTGGATTTTGTGTGTAGATTTGACACATTAAACATAAAGGTGTCAAGTAAAATGGCGTTTTTGCAAGCAATTCATGTAATAGATCATCACCATTTTTGCATATAAATGAAGAATTGTGATCAACTTGATAAATGCTTTTGCCTCTTCAAATCGAAAGCGTGACTTATTAAGTAAACAAATACGAGGTAAAGTTTAACCATGCCTCAACAATTGCCGTTTTAGTAGAAATTTAAACTTATATAATGCGAATTCCTTTTTAAGCAGCAGCGCTTTATATAAAGGGTGCTAATGAGAGTTTATTGCACATTTCTCTTTCATTTTCAAGAAGAAATGCGTGCAGTGAGAAGATATTTAAAAACTGTGATATTTTTTTTATCAAAGTGTCCTATTTTGCTAATTTACAGGTTTTAACTGTCTTCTGTTCAATCTATAAGGGAACGCAGATGCAATGTAGTTAAACAGTTATCAGAGCAGAGAGATCAGGGATGCGGCATATCTGTTTCATATGAAAATACAGTGTTTAGGATTCTATTTTTGATATTAATGAAACATACTTTATTTACACATGTATCTTTTATTTTTAAATTATCTTAGATTACTTCGTTATTTTTATCATGCTTGTATGTTTGACTTTATCTTATTTCCGTATAATTTTAGAACCAAATGAAATAACTAAAAACACAATTCACAATTTAATTCTTGATTACTCATCTTTTTATGATGTAAACTCAAATGTTTAAAAAAGTTAACTATTACAAAGACATAAAAACTGCAGCTTGCTAAGACCTAAAATATAATGCATTCGAAAATTTACACTTTGATTTGAATATGATCCATAAAAAAAAAAATTGTTTTATTGGACTTTTGCGAGAAGCACTGATTTTTACAGTTGACGGTCTACTTTGGCATTTAAACCTATATTCTACTGATGTACAGAAATGATGTTAGGTAAGGAACCATTTATAATGGTCATATATAGTGTTTTGTCCCTAACGTTGGTAGGGGCACTAAGATGGGAGGGCAGGGAGTTGAGGGTACAGAAGTTGTTTTTTTTTTTCTCTACGGACAGCTGATTTGTGCTTTGAAGAAATAAAACATTTAATTTCTTTCCATGCAATTGAATGTTGCGCTAAATATTCATCTCGTTCAAAAAGCTTCCGTACATTGTCCTAGTGTAAAAATAAGCTGTCAACAGTAAACTTCAGCGCTTCCCGCAAAAGTCCATAAGTATATATATGATTATATTTAGTTTCTTTGTTAAAAGGTTGTTCTAATCCCATGAAATATGGAGGAAATTGTTCAAAACCATGCCCTAAAAACTGTAAAGAATACTGTCATATAGAATCAGGATATTGTTTGCAGTGTAAACCAGGTTACAGTGGAACATATTGTGAACAAGGTAAGTTTCTTAAATAGTATATATGAAATGTATATTTGAACTGATTTCTTTTTAACACAACTATTATGGTATGTACAACCAAACTCTCTAGAAGGATGTAGTACGTCTTTCATATCATAATTAAATGTGAATTTCAACAAGCCATAGGTCAAGGCTTAGGGACTTAAAACTTAGACGAACAAACTGTTAATATTTAGTCTCACTTTTCGACTATTAATTCCTTTTCTAGAGATTAATACCTTTTCAAAATGTAACACTGAGATCAAAAGTGAGTTTATTTTAGTTTTATGGCCCCCAGGCCAGGAGCCAAAAATGACTAAAATGCCTTAAATGCATGTAGAGACGCATCTGTCTGTGTGTCTGAAGTCAGTGTGCGTCGACTTTTAAAATTAGTAGGGTTTCTTGAATGTAAATCAATAAGACGCCATTTTTTAAAAATCTAAATTCAAAAACTTTTTTCACAATGGAACGAATATGTAAGCACTCACTGTCTACTTCATTGTCTTTATGGTTAGATGGTTAAAAAATTATGGATACTGGGCTACCGTTTTGCATAAATTACCCTATGTTTCTAATGAGAGTCCTTTATGCTCAAATTATCTAAAGTTTGGTTAATACCCATGTGAATCTCACCAAAGAAGGCAGTGTTTCCTTTATTAAACTATCGGAAACTGATTATCTCTTTGATAATTACCTTTCTTAATTTTTTCATAATCTTGTCCTGAAGAAAATATGGCCTATAAAAGACAGACTTGGCAAAGCTCAATCTATTATTCATATGGAGATTCAGCAAAAGCAGTTGATGGACTAAAAACGGATTTATCTTTTGCTGGACGTCAGTGTAGTGTTTCCAACAATGGCTATCAAGATGCTACTTGGTGGGTGAATCTTACTGAAATCCGTAGCATACGTACCATAGTAATTTACTACAGGACAGATAATGACAATTGGGGTAAGTGCTAATAATAGCTCAATAGAATTAATTATTTTTTTTCTCAAAAAATCCATAAAGATTTACTTTCAAAATTAATAAAGGTATTTATAGAGTTATTAAGCTTTCATGTTTATTTTATGGAATTTTTTTAAAAGGAGAAATGTTCCGAATCTTCCTGGTTTTCTTCGGAATGTCTTTGACTTTGTTTTATTAGTATTCAATTTGATTAAAATCAGATCCTTTGATCCGCTTTGATCGCTCACAGAGATCACTACACAAGGATCTAAAAAAAACTCCATTCAGGGTAATCTCCTGGTGACCTTATTCAAATTCATTAAAATGATAATCAATCAAAGAGACCGTATTCAAACGACGTTCGGGAAAAATGAATGTAGAAGTAAAAGTAGCTGTGAGGATATTATCGTTTCGTACCAAACAAAGAGCTGAAGACCAAGACAAAAGCAAGTACTTATTATCTTTCTGTACAGTAAAGAATGTATTCATTCTCTTGGCAGGCTACGGAAACGATGTCACAATTTTCTGTTCGTGTGTCATCGGGGCTTTACTTCTATAACTGAATTCCGAGATACTTCTAAATTCTTGGAAGTAAACGTTTAATTGGATAATAAGAGGACATCATCAGATGAACCTGAATTTGGTTTCTTCACATTCTTGTGTAGCGATCTATGTGAGCGAATCAAAGGATCTAATTTCTGCCCTGGTTTTTAGCTCACCTGAGCCGCAGGCTCAAGTGAGCTTTTCTGATCACATTTTGTCCGTCGTCCGTCCGTCTAGCCGTCCGTCCGTCCGTCCGTTTGTCTGTCTGTCCGTCTGTAAACTTTTCACATTTTCGACTTCTTTTAAAGAACCACTGGGCCAATATTGACCAAACTTGGTACAAAGCATCCTTGGGTGAAGGGAAATTTAAGTTGTTAAAATGAAGGGACATATCCCCTCGCAAGAGAAGATAATCAAGAAAAGACAAAAATAGGGTTGGGTCATTAAAAAATCTTCTTCTCAAGAACCACTGGGCCAGAAAAAGTGAAACTTATGTGGAAGCATCCTGGTGTAGTGTAGATTCTAAATTGACCCCCGGGGGAAGGGCGGGGCCACAATGGGGTATCAAAGTTTTCTATAAAAAATATATAGGAAAAATATTTGAAAATCTTCTTCTCAAGAACCACTGGGCCAGAAAAGCTGAAACATATCTGGAAGCATCCTGGTATAATGTAGATTCTAAATTGTTCAAATAATGACCCCCCAGGGAAGGGCGGGGCCACAATGGGGAATCAAAGTTTTATATAGAAATATATAGGAAAAATCTTTGAAAATCTTCTTTTCAAGAACCACTGGGCCAGAAAAAGTGAAACTTATGAGGAAGCATTCTGGGGTAATGTAAATTCTAAATTGTAGGAATCATGACCCCCGGGGGAAGGGCAGGGCCATTATAGGGAATCAAAGTTTTATATAAAAAATATATAGGAAAAATCTTTGAAAATCTTCTTCTCAAGAACCACTGGGCCAGAAAAGCTGAAACATATCTGGAAGCATCCTGGTATAATGTAGATTCTAAATTGTTCAAATAATGACCCCCGAGGGAAGGGCGGGGCCACAATGGGGAATCAGTTTTATATAAAAAATATATAGGAAAAATCTTTGAAAATCTTCTTCTCAAGAACCACTGGGCCAGAAAAAGTGAAACTTATGTGGAGGCATTCTGGGGTAGTGTAAATTCTAAATTGTAGGAATCATGACTCCCGGGGGAAGGGCGGGGCCATTATAGGGAATCCAAGTTTTACATAGAAATATATAGGAAAAATCTTTGAAAATCTTCTTCTCAGGAACCACTGGGCCAGAAAAGCTGAAACTTATGTGGAAGCATCCTGGTATAATGTAGATTCTAAATTGTTCAAATAATGACCCCCGAGGGAAGGGCGGGGCCACAATGGGGAATCAGTTTTATATAAAAAATATATAGGAAAAATCTTTGAAAATCTTCTTCTCAAGAACCACTGGGCCAGAAAAAGTGAAGCTTATGTGGAAGCATTCTGGGGTAGTGTAAATTCTAAATTGTAGGAATCATGACCCCCGGGTGAAGGGCGGGTCCATTATAGGGAATCAAAGTTTTACATAGAAATATATAGGAAAAATGTTTGAAAATCTTCTTCTCGGGAACCACTGGGCCAAAAAAGCTGAAACATATGTGCCCATTAAAGGATCATGGGGTAGTGTAGATTTCAAAATGTCTAAATTATGATCAGTGGGGTAGGGTGGGGATGCATTATGTATAACGAGGGGGAAATCTGGTAAAGAACAGAATGGTCAAACCTTCTCAGGTGAGCGATGTGGCCCATGGGCCTCTTGTTATACCTTTGACCGAGTCTAAATAAAGGGGTCCTGGAAAAACCTGCCCGCGATCAGCGCCTTCTGAGAAATACCTGAGACCTAACAGATTTTCTAACCGATTCCTACTGTTTCGACCAAATAATCGGTTAACCGGGTACATATTGCCATCCCTAGATATTATCTCTTCGTCCAGTTTTAATTTAGGGTAACATTTGGTAGTGGATATTAAATTGCACTTGTGCATGGACTATTTTCGGCACTGTTCTTAAAGTTTTCCATGATTGAAAAGTGTGTTTCAAAGTCACAGAACATTTGTACTTGCTAGTGTTATTAACAAAATTAATACAGAGAAATAAAACTGTTCATATGATATCAATGCACACTTTCTGTACGGTCGTACAAAAAACAAATAGAAGAGCAACTTCAAATGTCATTTTAATGAAGAGTAAAAATGGTTTACATGATAAATGATGACATATAGTCGTATAAAATTACAGGTAAGGATCAAATAAATGGATTTGATAAATTATTAACTAAAAGCAAATTATTAGGGCAATTTCTAATGAAATGAATTAATTAATAGAAGATATGCGTCTTCCTACTTAAATATACATTCCATTATAAAAAAAATAAAGAAAGACATGAGTTTTCATATTAACATTTTGCAGATAAAAACAATGGCTACACAGCTCGATTTATGGGATTTTATCTTTACGTTTCGAATTCAACAAACAGACAAGATGGCCACTTATGTTTTCATGACACTAACTATACAAGAGCCACGATACCTGCTGTCGCTTATGTTAGCTGCCTAGTACATGGACAATACGTCATTTACTTTAACGAAAGGCCAATAAAAAATGATAACAGAACAGAATATTCTGCAAATGCATTTATTGAACTTTGTGAAGTGGAAGTTTACGGTAAGATGTTTACACCGAGTTTCGTTTTTGAATTTGTAATTACAATTTATTATTTTTTCTATAATGTTAATATCGATTTTCGAATATAAACATAATCATGCATGTTATATGATAATGTTATTTGTAAAAATAATTATTCAAAGTATTGATGTTATTCGTGTGTGAATATAACATTTAAGGTTGTTCATCACCAAACCACTATGGAAGTGACTGTTCAAAATCATGTCCAATAAATTGCAAGGATTATTGCAACATAGAATCAGGAAGTTGTAAACATTGTAAAGCGGGCTTTAGAGGTTCTTATTGTGAACAAGGCAAGTCCTTATTTTGTACAAAAAAGGGTATGATATTTCCATATCTTAATTGTGTTAAAACTATAGGGAGAATAATACATACACTTTTCCATATCAAATGCTGTATCAGCCCGAGACACAAACATCAGCCAAAGGGCCGAAGACCCGAAGGCTAATACATGATGTTATGTGGAAAAGGACATGTTTTATTATGTTGATTACATACTTAGTAATAGAATACGGTATCCATTAGGTTGAGATGAAAATAAATAAATAATCACACAAGGACTTCGTACATGTACACGATCAATTGTCTGACGTGGGTGGGTTTATTTTTAATTTAAATGTGCTCGATCTGTACTTTGAAAATATTTTTATTTATTTATCATATAGATTATCCATAAATTCAAAACGTTAAAATTAAGATAACATGTAGCCCCAAAAATATGCGTATTGTCATAATTATTTTTTTTTTTTGGTTTAATGTACTAAGGTGTGATATTGATCCATATCCTGCAGGCCTGACACGGCTATTGTGACGTCAGGCATTTCGCATATGCAAAATTTCGGTATCTATTGATATTACTAAGTATGTAATAAAGTATATTTGTTCACTTCTTTAATTCTAAAATCATGCATAACCTTCTAAAATGCTGGTTTTTACAGTTTGTTTAGATGGATCCTTTGGAGAAAATTGTGATAATCTTTGTAATGATACATGTAAGACTTGTAATAGAACAGATGGAGTGTGTGACAATGATTGTTACCCTGGATGGATGGGGATATTTTGTGAAGAAGGTACTTAATACTTCTTAATGATCAACCCCGTGGGGATCCGGGTTAGAATAGGTCCACAGTACCCCCTTGCTTGTCGTAAAAGGCGACTAAATGGGGTGGTCCTTCGGATGAGACCGTATACACCGGGGCCCCGTGTCACAGCAGGTGTGGCACGATAAAGATCCCTCCCTGCTTAAAGGCCGTAAGTGCCGAGCAAAGGCCGAAATTTTCAGCCCTTCACCGGCAATGGTGACGTCTCCATATCAGTGAAATATTCTGGAGAGGGACGTCAAACAGTTTACAATCAATCAATCTTAATGGTCATGCCTCTTTGTTAAATGTTATACATTCAATAATTTGGCTTTCACTGAAATTATGCAAAATGCATAGGTAATTAAATTATTTTCCTGAAAGCAACCGTTCTGTTATGAAAAATATATAATACCATGTTGCATTATTTGTTAAGAGACCAAAAAATGTCTTTCAATGATTTTTTTTTCTTTCTACCTCATGTCGCCTATAGAATCTCTAGAATTGCAAAGTAAGGAGTTGATCCATACGTCGCGGGTTTGAGTCCTACTGTGGAACGTGGGAACCGGTCCTTTGGATGATACCGTATAAACCGTTGTCCAGTGTCCCAGTAGCTGATCAGATCGAAAAAAAAAATTCTTTCCTACTCAATTACCCTGAGTGCCAAGTAAAGAACAGAATTTGCAGCTCTCAATGGGCATGTAACGGCATTGCAGCATGAGAGAAAAAAAAACTTGAGAGGGAAGATAAACAATACACAAACTATCTGCCACTTATTCCAAAATTATATCATATAATTGTTAGTGGGGAATTTTAAACAAAATATGTGATCATTGCATTCAACAGAATGAATGCCATCAAATATCTGGAAATGTATTTAACTGGATGTTTTGAGAGAAATGAAGATCCACCGCAAAATGAAAGTATAGTATATCAAATACAAGAAATCATTAAAAGGCGCGTAAATAATAACCTGTATGTTTGGCCCTCTATAGAATCTTTTACTCATGCTACGACGATAATACTAGCTAGGTAAGAGTTACATATTTTGAGTTATAATCGGTCCTTCGGGCAATTCAGCAATGAGGAATCTTTTTTGTGCCAGCAACTACTAGGACTCGACAGGTTGCTTTAAACAATTGCATCCGAAATACTTGTCCCTACGTCCCGCGGTTGTATTCGAACTCGTTATGCTAGGTAAATTTCTGCAGTACAGTTACGGTGCGCAATGGACATATCGACAATTTTTTATAATCAAATATGTTTTATTATCGGGATGGCGATTATTTATAGTACATTATTTAACTCAGATAATTGTAATTATTGTTAATAACTTCATATTAAGGACGATAACATTTTATATTTAGACTTGTACATGTAACGTGATGCGCCAGTCACGTAAATTTAGCATATTTACCTGCAGTATTGAGGTAACCTTTGCATTTCACTAGTGCAAAGGCATAACCAAGTTAAAATGCTAAGTTAAGTCTTTTTTTTTTTAATATGTACACGCATTGTAATTTCTGAAAGTGCTGCGATCATATCTAGATTCAGCAATTTCATTGTAAAAATTGCATTTGTATTACCGAATACTGTATTGGTTGCTGGTCAACGGCATGACATATTGATATAATTAATTTATTATCAAAATTTCAAAATTTCATGAAGATCGCAGCACGTTTCAGGTACCTTAATACTTCTAGAGTTGAATTGAAAAAGGTTGCAATGATCCATTGAGTCTACATGTCTGCCTTTGCACTAGATCGATTTATTAAGATCCCTTCATTACCCTCCGATGAACTTGCATACAAATAAACAACACTATTTTACTACGGAATATACAGAAAATGTATTTAAAAATCGTGAAGAAGACAACGAATCCGAGTTCATAGGCAATAGAATATCTGTAGATAATATTATATGATTAAAATAGCAAATCGCCTCATTTGTAGTATTTTAAATGTAATTTTTGCATGCTATCATAGTAAATTTTGCCCCGTACAAATAAGGCTCCGTCCCCTTTATGTAGCCTTAACTGTGTTGCGTCCTCTCTCTGTCACTCTAGTGCACTCGTACCATGTAACACTGCTTCACGATGTCACCCTCAAATAACTTAATTAAGAGTGGATATGATATTCCAAATCCGACATTAAAAAAAAAATCTTGTAAGTATCTTTAAATATAATGCATGCCAAGATGGGTATTATTGGGGGATGGATCGAACGAATCGGATCAACGGCAATCGCTAGAATGATTGTTACAATTGCTTGAAGGGAGACTCCTGTTGAAAGGATTAATCCTTTCAATTTCATGTTCGAACAACTTCTTAGGAAACTACATAACTTAAAACAAGTAAACCACCATGAAAATCAGTTATTGTATTCTTATATAACGTACTAAGTGTAGATTAAATCCCTAGCGCTAAGACATTGCCTTTATTTCGTTTGAAAATTTTATATTACTATGAGAAGAGCAAGACAGGATCTTATCTCGATTATATTTTGCAGGTACTCATAAGTATTTCTTCCGCAATAAAAATTATTATATTTCATATCGTGTGAATTACTTTAGTTCATTTTACATTAAGAGATTGTCTCGAAGAAAAAAAAAACAAACAAAAAATGACTTGATAAAGATATCCGATTAACGTTAATTCATCTTTCATGGTCTTTGCTGTGATACATTTACATATATATCATTACCTTGTAGTGTATCAGCCCTGATACAGGCGTTTTAGACTAGGTGAGACAGCTCCTCGGAACTAGGGCTGTCTCGCCCTCATGACTGAGATATCTCTGTTTCTGCCCGTTGTCTCGCCCTCAAATTTCAATCCATTATTTCTTTTTAACTTGTGTGAATTAAGAATAAAATTCTTATTCATATTTAGTATTAAATAGGAATATTATACATGTATATCGATAAATTCAACCAGAACCTTTAAAAATTATTTATTTATACTAGAATTTTGAGAAAATTCTTTTTGAAAAGTGCACCAAATGATAGCACTTATGACGTAAGAGAGATAACTCTTGTTTAATTTTAGGACAGCAAGGAATCATGTTTTGAAAAAAAGGATGTTTATTTGCTTTGACAGTAAGACAATACAAAATTTCAATGTACATGTGTTGTGCCATTTTTAATTTAATATATCGTAAACAAAACCAAGAGTTACTACAAATCTCAGATTTACAAATTGTAACGATTCGTTAAAGAAGTTGTAACCCCGGATCGATCCAAAGTATAAGTAGAATATTTTTTTTAAGTTTGGGGCCTTTTTAATCTTTTTTATCTTATTGGAGATAACGCTTCAAAATGAAATGTTTCAAAATACCAGTACTATTCTTTTTAAGACAAGATCAGGCAAATCTTTCCCGGTATGATGTAACATTTACCGTCAAGCAACATCTTCAGGAACATTGAAATAAAAAAAGAATAACTCTAATTTTCTTACGACCAAATTATATAAACTTTTTGATAAAAAAATATCAAAATATTTGTTCTTTTCTTTGGTTTTAGATATATGATACATGTATAAACAACATCACACCACTGTTTTGATCTCTGCCTGCACCCTATGGGCCTGGGCCGATACCAACTGCTCGGGCTGATATCATGGCCAATTGAAATAGCAGTGTGATATTATGTTTTTTTTTTCCAAATTAAAGTTTGTATTGTTTAAAGAACTTTTGAGGTGAAATGTTTTTTTTGTTTTCTCCATATTTTCATTGAACTAATGAAATATGGAACTTTATCCTTGTGATGTTTTAAGTCGGTAGGTGGTAACATTTAACGATTTCTCAAACAGGACTTTTCTCGATATTTTTAATTAAAGACCTTAAGAAATTAACTTAAAATTAGTATAAGCATTAAACATGGCTAAAAACTAATGATAGTATTCACGATGGGTTGAATTTTGTAAAAAAAAAAAAAAAAGAAAAGGGGGGGGGGGGTAAGTCCCATAGTACCATAGTAAAATTACATGTAAAACCACTATGATTATTTGCCAATCTACAGTATCTAAAGCATATTCCCTGTTAAAATCCTCATGCTGTCTGAAGGACAAATATGGAATAAAAGTTCTCCTTAAAATGAAACTGTCAGTGCACTCTTAAAATTATGTGGATGAATATGAATGAATTCATATAATTTTCACTTCCTTTCTTTAAATATAAAGAATGCAGTGATGGATACTTTGGACTGAATTGTTTGTACAAATGTAACGATACATGTAAGGGGTGTAACAAAACGAATGGTATTTGTGACGAAGGCTGCTATCCTGGTTTGAAAGGTTCTTACTGTCATGAAGGTAAAGGCTGTATTTTTTTTTTTTTTACAATTTATTTTATTTTGGTCATTTAGGTAAAAAAATGGTAGCTGTCATATTAATGATATTCTTAATAAACAAAAAATAAATACTGGTATAATGCTTTTATATGTAAAAAAAAATATGTACATGTACCTGTAAATAAGTAAATTTACAACCGAATAAATTTTGTGATAAAACAAAGCTTTGTAACCCCCCAAAAAATAAGTTATTTGATTTGAAGATTCTTCGAAGAATATAAAAATAGATACAAAAAATGTCAACTTCATTTCAGTGACCATTGGTCATATGTAAATAAAATTTATACTTACATTAAATAAGTACATTGCATCATAAAAAAAAATTATCAATACGGGAAAAAAACTTCAACACAATGCATAATAAATGCAGATTAAAACATTATTTTAAACAACTTTAGAGTGTGATGGTGGATTTCATGGTGAGGGTTGTAGCCTACCTTGTGGGCATTGCAAAGAAAGGAACCAATGTCACTCAAAAAACGGGACGTGTTTGAATGGTTGCGCCAAGGGCTATGTGGGATTGTTTTGCAATAAAAGTAAGCTTAAACATGGACTGAAAAGTCTTAGTCATCAAATCGAACATTTGCACCTAAAATCGGACAACCTTTCTCAATCTCTGTTTTTAACATTCAGCATGTAGTGATGGATACTTTGGGGAAAGTTGTGTCAAAAAGTGCAACAATGAATGTAAAGGATGCAACAGAACAAATGGAATATGTGAAAATGGTTGTAACATGGGTTGGCAAGGAGATTTCTGCAACGAAGGTATATTTAAACAGAATTTTACTATGCATTTTTTCAGATCTTTTCTAATCATTGATGTCGAGTGAATATAATCTACTCGATCAATGAACCTAGAATAAGACAAGTTTAAATGGATGCTTATGTGGGGATGGGGGTTTAAATGACAAATTTATGCGTGCATTAAAGTTGAAGCTGATAATAACTACTTATCAATGTGTATTTAATGTAAACAAAATAATTTTAACACAAAACTTTAACACCATTTTTAAATTAAGCTTGCACTAACGGATACTTTGGGTCGAATTGTTTGCACAAATGTAACGAGACATGTAGAGGGTGTAATGGAACAAATGGCGTTTGTGAAAACGGTTGCCTCCATGGTTGGAAAGGATTATACTGTCATGAAGGTAAAAACATCAAACTTATATAGGGCAGTAAGAGCATATAAAACATGTTCCAATAAAACAATTAAACATAATCTATTAAAATAATTGTCTGCATAAATAGCTTAATCATGAAAATGCAATTAAAAACTCTTCTTATAAGAACATTTCAATTACAATTAATCAAGAGATTTTTGTACTTTAGAACATACATTTAATAATTGCCAATGGTTCAAAGCACTCGAAAGTAAATAGTTGGAATTGACATTTTATCGTTTAAATGGGAAAATACACGACTGTCAATTATCGTGAAGAGCGTTTTGATTTACTATTTTATTTTCCTTCAAGAATGCAACGGGGGATTCTTTGGAAATAATTGCAGCATGATATGTGGAAAATGTTTAAACTCGGAACAATGTCAACCAAATAACGGGACTTGTATGAATGGTTGTGAAGCAGGCTATGAAGGAGGGTTTTGTAATAAAAGTAAAATTTCCATGAATTTGTTGTATTATTCACGGAACAAACAACGACTTTTTAGAAAATATGTATTCATAAAAAAAACTAAGGTCATGTTCAGTGAAGTAAAAATAATTTTATCAGCTTACTTTTTGATCATTATTCAAAAATTTACAATAAAATGATTATTAAATTATGGCTGTAAAAATGTGCAATTTTGAACATCATAGATATTTTTTTTTCCCTGATATATTTCAATAATTAAAAAAATTGAAGCATTTTGAAAGAAATAAAAGCTTTAATAAATAACATACCAAACCTTAGAGTTTTTTGTGTTTTTATCATTTCTTCTTTTCCCTCGATCCTATTTTTTATATTTTCATATGTATTATGTAAAAAAATGTCAGTATTTATTCATTTTAACATATTATTATATCTATAGCTTGTAAAGATGGAACAATTGGATATAACTGCCAGGATAAATGTAACGATACATGTTATGGATGTAACAGAAGAAATGGTAAATGTGAAACCGGATGTCATCCAGGATGGCAAGGAGACTACTGTCATGAAGGTGAAGCATTATAAAAATTACATTAAATTAACAATACGTCTTCAACTTTAATTATGTTGTAAACACTTGTATTCCTTCGTAGGTAATTCTGTTAATACGTATACCAAGAAAAGGGAAATTTATATTTGATGCATTCCATCCATCACAATTGAATCTCATGCCAAAATAGATGTTGAATTCAGTTTGGAAATGTTTTATGAAAGTCAAACGTTTTTATTTGAACTGGTCTTACATGTACCTGACAATTATTTCAGAGTGCATTGATGGATTCTTTGGCAAGAATTGCAGTGAGACCTGCGGACATTGTAAACGAATTAAGGATTGTCAACCGATAAATGGAATGTGCCTAAATGGATGCATTGCAGGATATGAAGGACATGCCTGTAATAAAAGTATGTTATGTTATTGCATGGGTTTTATTCCGTTGTGGATACAAAAGGACATTAATGAGTGTTAGATCTACAATCATAAAACTTACCTTAAATAATTTTCTCAACCTAAAAGCATGCAGTGACGGATACTTTGGAGAAAATTGTGTCCTAAAGTGCAGCGATGCATGTAAAGGATGCAACAGAGGGAATGGGATATGTGAGAAAGGTTGTCGTCCAGGTTGGGAAGGGAAACTCTGTTCAGAACGTAAGGGAAAAAGCAAAAAAATTACCTTACCTCATATTTAAGCCTTCTTTACATTTACTTCCTTGCATTATTTTCATTAGTAATTTTACAACTACACAGGAAATATTTCAGCATTGGCATTGATAATCTTTTTGTTAATCATCAGAGTGTTTAAAAAACTTATACGGAGAAGGATGTAATGTGAGTTGTGGTCAGTGCTTGAACGGGAATCAATGTCACCATATCAACGGTTCATGTCAAAGTTCATGTGAACCTGGATACAGTGGGGATAAATGTGATGAGGGTAGATGTATTCTTTTTCATATTTTAAAACATTGTAAGGCATTTATTTAATTCGTGTTTTATACCAACATATTTTTATATAAAATGTTGATTCATTTAAACCATGGTTAATTATATTCAAGTTACCCATGCTCATTAACATAATGAACTTTTTTTCGAAACTGGTTTTATATATACTTAATTATATTTTTGGATCTGGTAGTCTGCATGTATGGGTATTTTGGAGCGAACTGTGGACAAGAGTGTAGTCTCTATTGCAAAAAAACGCGTGATTGTCACCATGTTTCCGGAATTTGTCGAGGCGGTTGTAAAAGGGGATGGCAAGGAAACGATTGTATGGAAGGTAGATAAAGTAATCAGTCAATTTCTGCTTAAAACCCATAATTAACCTGATTTAAATCTAGAATTCATTTAGGGTATTGTTTCTTCAAAGATATGGAGGATGAGCAAATAAAGGGTAAAATGGAAGACCTTACCAAACAATTCTATTCTGCTTTCGGTGTTTGCTGTTTTCTATTTTTCCTTATTGGACTTTTTACTTTGTACAAAATAGTTAAAAGGTATGTTTATTTTTCTATTTTTTTTGCAATGATACGAGATTTTCATTCAAATATCATACTTCATCTTCATCTCTAGTTTAATTTGCAGGTTTAAGAGAATCAACTGCAGAAAGAGTAATTTCTCAAGTACCTCCTCCTATCCTGGAAAGGGTGCAAAAACAACTCCCGAATCTATGGTTGAATATGAAAATAATCTTAAGGACGAATATCAAGAACTTGGAGATGTCTGCTCGCATTCCAACTACGACATGCTTAAATAATATATTCCAACATTATGCTACATGTAAACTATGGATTTATTCACCCTAATATTAGCTTTTTTATCATAATGACTTGATATTTTGATAACTGTAAGTAAAGAGATATTGTTGTTCTAAGTTTGATTGGTTGTTTGTTTGTTGGTGAACCTTCCTATCGAGAATTTCACTTGTACATTGTTGTCTGTTAAATTCTTTGACGTTTTTAATACAAGTTTCATCATAGATACCTTTAATTTATATATACACATTTACATATTTATAATTCTCACGTACAGGTGAATTACAAAATGTGAAAAGAGGGTATTTGATTTTAAATATAATTACAATAATAGAGAGGTTTAGTTCCTCTCTAGTTACAAGTAACGTAAATACCGAAACTTTGACCTACACGGTATATTTGATGTCCACGTCAATATGGTTTAGATAATAATAATAATAACAATAACAATAATTATTTACTTAGAGAAAGTGGCCTGATGAGTGTGACACACTATTCTTCCCAAGGACCTTCTAATTACAACAACAATATTACATCAAATTAGCAAAGATATACAAACAACATAGAAAGTAAATTAAAATACAAGTACATGTTTTATGTCATATGATGATAATCAAAATTGAATAGCAATAATAAAAACATAAATTAAGATGACATAAAAAGTTTTAAAATGTAATATCAGTAAGATTTTACAATACATAAGTTATAAACTTGTGCAAAAAATATAAATCAGAGGTTATCAAGTTCTGTTGATGAAGATATATGTTTCTACATCTCGTTTAAAGACTGGCAGACTTGGTGCACATCTTATATTTAAAGGTAAACTGTTCCAAATATGAACTCCAGAATATTGGAGTGAATTTTTAAACAAATGTGTTCAGTGTCAAATTAGATTCTGAGCGTAAAGTATACGCATTTGAAGTTTGACAAATAAATAAATCTTGCAGGTAAGAAGGGCTCTGATTGTTAAATATTTTGTACGACAAGATACATTTATGCAAAGTTACTAAGTCAAAAACAGATAACCACCCTAATTTTTCAAATAATGCCTTAGAAGGAGCATCAGGGGCAGCATCAAGTATAATTCTAGCGGCCCGTTTTTTAAGCTTATTGATTCTCTCCATGTAACTATGTGGTGCATTACCCCAGATAGTCAGACAATAATTAATAGAAGGTAGGATAAAGGCATTGTAAAACAGTTTTCTAGTTTTCAAAGGATGATATTTCTTGATTTTGCGCAAACTAAATTATTTGTATATTAAAGATTAGCAGACCGAGTCTACATGGATATACGTATACGTGTACGAATGCAAATTTCATGATCGTTAGGTACAGTAAATTAAGTGAACGGCATTGCATTTATAATTTTTAATTCAGACAAATTAAAGGTGGAATTAATACTTATTCTAGTCATAGACATCATAAACAATAAATAAAATATCATAATTATGTATTGTCATCTCACTGCAGTGAAGCGCTTTGAATATTTTGTTTTCTTGTATATCAACAGGACAAGCTTTTGATTCTGAATCACTTTAAAAATGGAAGAAGTCATGAAAGATACTGAATTGACAAAAATAAAAAGAAGACCACATTTTGCACTTTGTGAAGGAGTGGAGCATCCCAACAGAAAAACCTTTTGAAAACGATAAATACAAGGGCTTAATCATTATAACGTTTCGAAAGGAGGCATTTTCTTCTTTTTTTTCAAATACGCGTTTGCTCTAGATCTTTACGAGTGCTAGTATCAAAGGGAAAAAATAGTAAATAAAATACAATCTCCACAAGGACTTGACGTTACACATACTGTCTTTAACTTATTTGGCTTATTATGCCCCCGTAAACGAAGTTTCGGGGGCATATAGTTTTTGTCGTGTCCGTCTGTCTGTCTGTCTGTCTCTCTGTCTGTTTGTCTGTTTGTCCGCAAAAACTTTAACCTTGCCCATAACTTTTGATTTAGTGGAGCTATGACTTTCATATTTCATATGTGTATTCCTTGTGACAAGACCTTTCTTTGGGTACCACCAAATTTGACCTTTTGACCTTGACCTTGGAGTTTGACCCACTTTTACACGAAAATTTTATAATTTTACTTTGGCTATATCTTTTGAACTGTAGACACTAGGACATTTATACTTCAGGTATGTAATGTTTGTTAAAAGACCTTTTACTGGATAACAACAACCTTGACCTTTTGACCTTGACCTTGTAGATTTCCGTACTTGTGAAAAAACATTAACCTTGGCCATAACTTTTGTATGGTAAAAGATGGGGCTTTCATACTTCATATATGTTATTCTTCTGAGAAGACCTTTCATTGGATACCAAGAACATTGACCCTTTGACCTTGACCTTAGAGATTGACCTACTTTAAAAATCAAACCTTGACCATAACTTTGAAAGAGTTAGGGCCAGTGCTTTCATACTTTGCATATTTGATCCTTATGACAAGACCTTTTTTGGATACCACCAAATTTGACCTTTTGACCTTGACCTTGGAGTTTGACCCACTTTTACATGAAAATTTTACTTTGGCCATATCTTTTGAACAGTAGATACCAGGACATTTATACTTCAGGTATGTAATGTTTGTGAAAAGACCTTTCACTGGATAACAACAACCTTGACCCTTTGACCTTGACCTTGTAGATTTCCTTACTTGTGAAAAAAACTTTAACCTTGGCCACAACTTTTGAACGGTAAGGGATAGGGCTTTCGTACTTTATACATGTAATCCTTATGAGAAGATCTTTCATTGGATACCAAGAACTTTGACCCTTTGACCTTTGAGATTGACCTACTTTAAAAAAGCAAACCTTGACCATAACTTTTAAAGAGTTAGAGCTAGAGCTTTCATACTTAACATATTTTATCATTATGACAAGACCTTTCATTTGATAACAATAACATTGACCCTTTGACCTTGACCTTGGAGTTTGACCTAATTTTTAAGAAATTGAACGTTGACCATACGTTCTGAACGGTTAAGGCTAGGGCTTTCATGCTCTACAAAAGTATTTTATGTGGCAAGACCTTTCATTTGATATTAATTACATTGACCTTTTGACCTTGACCTTGGAGATTTTTGTATTTAAAAAACTTTAACATTAGCTTACTTTCAAATTTCAAAATTGTTTTCCAGTGAGAATACCCTACTTTTGGTACTAATTAATTAAATTTGCATTTAAGAAAAGCTTAATCTTTGCTATGTTGCCATACGGGGGCATCAGTGTTTTACAAACACATCTTGTATTTTTGTTATGTTATTGGTGCTTGTGGGTTTTATTTTATAGAAAATTTTATTTGAAGAAAAAAGCATATAGCTTTGTCAAAATAGGTTTAAATAATAAATAATATTAAGGAAAAAATCACCGCCAAAACTCTTTTTTGGTGCATTGGCGGGATCTTCTTCAAATGAATCCTGCATGCAAAATAAACATGCTGATTGGTATCAGTTTAACTTTTCGTTGATAAAAATACAAATACATGTCCTATGATGGACTCATCGATTCATGATTCCGTGAATTTTGTTTTAGTGTTCTTGTTTTATAGCCTAAATATCAATGAACTAAATCAGAAAATAAAGAATTTAATTGATAACTTTACATGGTTATGTCGTACGTGTAGACAGTTTTAAATTTGTGACTACACGTCGG